GTTTGATAGGAAAGTAAGCATTGCATATATTTCCATTTTTTCTCCACATATCTGTTGTCCCCCCCCCAAAAAAAAAATGGAAAGGGCTCCCCACCCCCATGGCTTCAACATGACTGGAAAATTTACAATTCTAGGTAGACTCTGGGCCTCACCTACCCCACAGGGTCGAAATGATAACTAGGTTTTTAACCAGAAGTTTTTATCTTTTTAGCTCTCTTTAGTTCTTGCTTCTAGCCTGAGGACTGTTTTATGGATATTTTTCAGCAGCTCAGTGGTTCTTTAATGCTGTTTTTTACGATCCTGAGCAGGGGTCGTTTCGTAGAAAAAGAGCTAGGGGAGCTCATTAGCATAGCTCATTAGCATATGCCACACCCCCTGACATCACCGGAAGTGTGTCATAAGGCCACGCCCCCTGACATCACCGGAAGTGTGTCATGAGGCCACACACCTCGCCCCCAACGGTCCCGGCCGCTGCCGGCCTGGAAGCAACTTACCCTCCCTCTTCTCCTGCCTCCTCCTGGCTGAATGAGGGCTGGAAGCGGGGCGGCCGGAAGCAGGGGGCGGGGCTTCATCATGTGCCCCGCCCCCCGTACCTCCCCGGGCGAACTGCAATCCCCCGCGATCCCCCCTGAAATGACCTCTGATCCTGAGTATTTTAACATTGTTAACTGACGTCATTTAAATAAATATTTTTTAAAAAAATGGCATCCCAGCCTGAAACTCCAAAAAAATAATAATTAAAAAAAATTATAATGGGGGAACCATGTAAGTCAGGGGTGTCGAACTAATTTGTTATGAGGGCTGGATCTGACATAAATGAGACCTTGTTGGGCCGGGCCATGTGTGACACAAAATGTAAGGCCAGGTAGCGGAGATATAAACTTTACCAAGGACACAAACACAAAGGTGGGGTTTTTTTACTTAAAATAAAAACATGCTTAAAACATGAGCACTCTTGCAATATTTCGTTTATTTAACAGTGTCTGATAACTGACACCTCTTGCTCTGAATTATTGCATCAAAATGTCTGTGCTGTTACAATTTTATGCTGTCCAGGTGTGTATCTGTAAGCTACAAGCCTACAATGACGCAGCAGCAGCAGAACTGGAAGAAGAAGCAGAAGACACCCAGTTCCACTGCGGGCCTGATAGAAGCCCTCTGGGGGCCTGATCCGGCCCCTGGGCCACATGTTTGACACCCCTGAAAGTTGCCCTGATCTCTGTGAAGGATGAGCACTATGAAAATACTAAATGGACAGATCATATTAACTTATGATGTCATATTCTTCTGTATACCTGCAGAGTCCCCCAAGTAGGTACACCAAGGGTCACCAGCCATTTTGAGCCTGTGGGCACCTTTGTAAGTTTTCCACCCTTACAGGCGGCACCTGGAGATCTCCCACTATTACAACTGGCCTCTAGATGGCCAGGATCGGTTCCCCTAGAGCAGTGGTGGGCAAACTCATTAGTCAAGAGAGCCAAATATCAACAGTACAACGATTGAAATTTATTTTGAGAGCCAAATTTTTAAAACTTTAACTATATAGGTAGGTACATTGTTATTAACTTAATTAGGGTACTCCT